GCTCTATAAATTAACTAGTCTTCAATTTGACATCATAGTCCTTGAGGCAAGGACTGTGATGTCTAAATTGACCCTTACTGTTGAGCAAAAACGAATATAATTTACTTATATCTACCTGTCCTCTATGACGAATTTCAATTCGGCCGGCACTGTCTCCCCTGCCATAGGATAATGGAAGCATCGCAGAACAAATTCCTCCGACGCGACGTCTATAAACATTGAACACGGTTGTGAAACTTCATTATACCTAGGTCTTTACGAAATGATAATTGCAATCAATGATCTGTTTTGGGAATTTACTTAGACATGTTGATGCAATTTGTTGAACCTTGTGTCACTTATTCAATTTAACTCTCCATAAAACAACATTCATGTATTTCACTGGTGAATGCAGAAACATAACGAAATTTTGTCGGCAATGATTCAGAAGATTCACAACACAACAAAAATAATTCGCAGAGTAAACTGGCATTGTTACATTGAATGAGGGAAATAAAATTTGTGGTGTTTATATTCAGTAAGAAAACATACCATAAGTAGGGTATTTTTGTTATTTATTATTTAATGCACTCAACAATTTGAACAAATGGCAAATAACCCAATTAATTTATCGGAAAACTGAAATACATTTACTATACTATTAAGAATTTTTTGAAATTCGTAAGCACTTCATTATTTTTTGAATACATTATATAACATACTCAAACTCCGATATGAGATCAAAATCTATAATTACGATGTTAAATTCACCTACTGTGAAATATGAAATGTACATCGTTTATTATTTGTGGAAACAAATGAGAATAAAAGAATAATTGAAACTGTAGAAACAGTTCAGAACAAATTAGTGATTTCACTTATTTATATATTTATAAACAAATAACGAGAGTATTATGAGAGAATATGTGTATAAATATCAGATAAAATTAGGCTAGGATCAATGTAAAACATTAAAATGATAATGGGGTTATGAAATGATATAAAATAAAATTAATGAAAGTTTATAGTTGAAAGTTACAATTGCAAGTTGAATTGGTGTATTGTCAGTTAAGAGTATACATACTAGTATGTATGTATAAATCATATTAGATGTAAATTTGTGAAATGAAATGAAACAAAAATATCATGTAGAATATCAGTGTATACATGGAATATAGCAAATACAGTATGACTACTAGGCTAACAAATAAATGTAGATTTAATTGAATGAATTTGTATTTGTCTAGGTATAGTAAGATATTGATGTGAAGAAGTAAATGTGTCCAATATATTTTTGAGTAAGCATACCTTTTCATCATTATGTGAATATTTCAAATTAAAGTGTTATAACAATTGTAATTGTATATAAATAAACATAGTTATTAGTTTCAACAAGTGAACTTTGTTGTTAGCAAACGATTTGCGAACAAATTTGGAAGAGGTTGGGTCACAGAATTATGTGGTTAGGTATAGTGGACAGAAAGTTTATATTTAGTGGTAGAAATTTGTCGTGTTAGTTGAGTTGTAGTTGATAAATTTATATTAAATGGATGAACTGCAGTTTAGAGAACTTGGAAATAGCAGAGGAACGAATACATCAACCTAATCGATTTGATGATATTGATCCTTTTGATGTTTTGAGTGAGCATCAGCCGTGGTATGCCGGATAATGAACTCGTGAGTTGTACTTCACAATACGTGTATAAAGTATAACATCCCAATGCCTGAGAATCACAATGAAGATAAAAATATTGATTTTGGAATTATTCTCAATGCAAATTCTAATGATAACACTGAAATAATTACATAATCATATCAAATACATATAAACCAACAATTTATGAAGTTTCATTTGAACCATAAAGATTATTTCTCAGTAACCTTACAGTGGATTTTAAAATTTTCAAAACAATATTGAAAAACTTGCATTTTTTCCTGAATTTCATAAAAAACTATTGTATCAAAATATTGGTTTTACTAATACATTATTTACATCAATAAAATATCATAGGGGGTTGAACCCCGAGGGTTGAAAATATTCATTCAGAGTGTCCCCCTTGCAAATAAAGTTGACCTGTCTGACCATTTTTTCATATTATGTACTGGAAGGGAGAAATTGAGGGTGGGAAGTTTTCAAATTGACACACTGTATAACAAATTAAATGATGGAGAGACTGCAGCTGCTGTGTTCTGTGACGTATCTAAGGCGTTTGACTGTGTTAGTCATGGTACACTGCACCGGAAACTACATCAGTATGGAATAAGTAATTTGTTTAAATCCTATTTATATGAGCGTAGTCAAATTGTTAAAACGACCAGTTATTCTGAGGCTCAAGGCTCAGTATTATTCCTTCTGTATATAAATGATCTGATATCTATTGATATCAAAGGTGAGTGACTTCACACTATTAGCTGACGACACTACAATCTTATGGCATGATCAAATTCCCTTTGAACTTGAAACAATAATGAATTGTGATATTAGCAAATAAAAAGAAGGTGAAACGCAAATCTCCTCAGTTTTAATATATCTAAAACGAACGTGACTTGCTTCGAATGTTCCATTAGCAATTTACAAGTTGACAACATCTCTGTTGTGAATAAACCATCAACTAAATTTCTGAGACTAATTATTGACAGTGATTTGAAATTTGAAAACCACATCAGGGTTCTTAAATCAAAGTCGTCCTCTGGGTCTTATACTGTGAGGCTGGCATCTATATCTGTTGTGAATTAAGATTTGCTGCTGCCAAAGTTACATATCACTCTCTCATAGAATCTTACCTACGAAATGGAATCCCTTTCTGGGGTGCATGTACTGTGACAACATTGCAATCAAATTTAATTATACAAAAAAGAGCTGTACGTTTTCTGTGTGAAACAAAGCCACGAAATTCTTGCAGACCACTGTTTAAGGAAAAGAAAATCCTCACTGTAATATCAATTTTTATTATTGAAACTATGTCTCAGTGAAACATCAAAGTCGATTTTTAATTAACGCAAACGCCACACGTCGAAAAAACAACTTTAATTTGATCATTCCAAAATATTCCCTTATTTAAGACTTTCATTTATAATGGGTTGAAAATATTCAATCACGTTCCATCCAATCTAAGAGGCGCATGTCAGAACAGGAACTTCAGGGAAGTTTTGAAGGATTTTTTTTTGTGAGACAGCCTATTATAATTTATCAGAGTACTATCAAGATGCAGTGTATATTATTTTTAGTATATAGTATTACATGACTAAATAGCAATAGCTAATATGTATGTGTAATTTCGGTTTTTTATATCCATTTAAACAAGCTTTGTCAATTTTTTTGCAGTCATATCTATAAATACTGTCTTTTAAAATTATTTTCTCGCATACTGGGTGATTCAGCTAAGCGTGGCCAACCAAAGTCATATTTTTTTAAATAGCACACCCAGTATACGTCATTCGATTCCATTCCATATTTTTTTGGTCCTCTAAGGAACTTTTGTTTTCGAATTTCCATTACGGCATTGCCTAGTTATAACGCTATGTGTTGAAGTTTCTTTCAACTGTAGATTGAATCATTTTCATTATGAATTATGTATTGGAAGATATCGTGCAAATGGTCTTTGCTAGGGGGAAAGTGACGGAAACTGCCTCCTTTCATTTAGGATTTGCAAGGCTCTAAAAACAAGATTTGAAATAACTGGTAATGTCAATCACGAGAAGTTCGAACGTGTCTGCCCTGTAACAAATGAAGAGAATACATTTCAAATTGCTCTGTACCTTGTTGAAAATTCCCATGTGAGTACCCAAGACCTGAGCAGGAAATTAAGGATTTCTCAAACCAGCGTGTCTCGAATGATTCGAGCAACAAATTTCATTCTCACCACATGCAATTGATGCAAGAGTTAAGAGGAAGAGATTTTGAAAAACGTGTTCAACTTTGCTGATACTTTGCTTAGAAAAGATAACTTGAAGAAGCTACTGTGTTAGCGAAACATGTGATATATTTCTCAAATAAAGTTTGTGGAGATCAAATCGTAAGGTCTAGTTTATGAAATTACTATGGATCTTCATCAAGTAACGGCCGAATCAATTAGGAAAAAAATAGGAAACATCAATCAGGAAATGATTTTTTCGATTTCGTGTTATTTTCTGATGAAGCGACTTCTCATAAAAATGGAAGTGTGAATCGGCAACATGCATTATTATGCAACGGAAAACCGCCATTTTATTCGTTGCCTGAACCATCAACAGCGTTGGTCACTGAATGTTTGGGGTGGAATTCTCGGAAAAAGGATTATTGGTCCGTATTTTTGGATGGGCATCTCACTGGAAGAAAATATGTAAGATTTCTTCGGCATGAGTTTTCGAATTTATTGGACGGGGTTCCATATGGAACAACACTTGGAATGTGGCTACATGTTTTAAAACTGAGGTACAGGAATACCTCAATGGTCATTTCAATAAAAAATGGATAGGTAGGAATGGGCCTGTGGCGTAGCCACCCAGATCACCTGACCTGACCAAAATGGATTTTTTATGGGGGTATATCAAATGGATCGTCTACCAAACTCCTCCAACAGCTATAGAAGACATGAAACGAAAAATCACTAGAGCTTTCAGGGAAATCCCAGAGGATATGCTGGAACGTGTAGAGAATTCGTTTAAAAAAGGACTGACATTATGTGTTGCAGAAAATGGTCGCCATTTTGAACATCTTTTGGACTCCTCTATTCAATAAAAAATTTAGGCGTTATTGTTCATATTGAAAAATTTTTGAATAAGTGAACGTAAATAAATGAATTTTTTGGGGTTACAACAATTATTTAAACTCAGATGGAATTCGTGATCGTTTAGAATGGAATTTGCGTTTTACTTTACCTACTTTTTTATCAGAAGAACGACGGACATTATCACCTGATAATTATGATGTACCATAGATTAGTGGATGTTAATTGGTTAGTGTTATAAAATTATCATTAGTTATGCAAGATATGAGCAATGCTATTTTAATGATCCTTAGAGAGATAACTGATATTTGCTATCTGTGCGGAAAAGTTTACAATGAGTTCTATCATTAACGGAAAAACAGAAACAGATTTAGAGCTGTAGGAAAAAATATTTTTTTATGCTCATCAGGTATTTTCTAGTTGTCATTTCTATAAATCGATTGATTAGATATAGAGTGCACGAGAAACTATAAGTACAGTGAAACTGTAAGAGGGTGGAAGAAAACTTGAAAAATGCGCTATTATATGAAGGTCAAAGAAAAGAAAATACTTGAAGAAGTTGGAGATTAGAACTTTTCAATGTAAGTGAAATTTTACATCACTACTCTCTCATATATTACGTTGTGCACCGTTTCTTTGTATGATATGTTTCATTTCGAATGTTTCAAGTACTAAATTAGAAAGTTATTATCGAGCTGTTCTAATTTTGAAGTGGTTGTTTCGGATGAATTTCTTTTCCAGTTTCTGAAAGTTCCCACCGACACCCTTCTATGTTGGGATGGATGGAGAAAACCACAAATCATTGAGTGGCTGCGACAAAAACCATACCATTTGATGAAAGTATGGATAAAAAAACTATTTTCCATAGTATGTTCAAATAGCTTGTTTCACGAAAGATGACACAGAAACGAAATATTATTCGACGTCTGCCCCCTTATCATTATGAACTTAATCCCATTGAACTCTTTTGGACAATATGTGGAAATTAGACCATTCAGTTGAGGAAATTCTAGAACCTTTAATCATAACATTCGACGTAGATTCATCGGATTTATCTGATGATAACACACCATAGTTTTTGCTTAGACCCAATATCTTCTTAAATAAGCATACATATTTATCATTATATGATTATTTCAAATTAAAATGTTATAACAACATGGTGTTGTGTAATAAGTGTCCGATATTTTACAGGATGATTTCTCAGTTATTTATAAGGTGAAAAGCTCATATCAGCATGGATCCGCAATGCCTTTATTTTTGAGATACATAGTGTTGAAAATTCATTTTTATTTTGTTTTTTCGTAAATTAATTTTAAAATATTGTCGATATTTGGACAAAAAATATATTTGTGGACTTTTCAATATGAGAAATTGAAATTTGGTGTTTGTCACTCAATTGTAGGGAGCGCCACCTATTAGGAAGTGACAACTTTGTCCTGCATGTTCGCCTATATGCACGCATCCAATATTCTTCTTATTGATTTGCGCACTCTTTGAAAAATTCCTGGGGTATCTTAAATCGATCTGCAAGGATTAATTATTCGATTTCTTAATTCTTCTTCAGTTTGGATCGGTGTCTGGTAAATTGAAGATTTTAGATGTTCACACAGGAAAAAATCCAAACTGTTAAGGTCTGGTTATCTAGGGGGTCATGGTTAAGGTCCTCCCCGACCTATCCAACGATTGTCGAAAGTTTGATCTAAAAATTCTTTCGGATGTGTGCTGAAATGTGTCGCGGCACCGTCTACATAAACCACATTTCATTTCGTACTCTGAGCGGCGCATCTTTCAGTAAAATAGGCAATAGGTTTAATCTTCACGGAATGAATAATGGGCCTATAAAATGATCACCAAGGATTCCTGCCCACACGTTGAGAGAAAACTATTCTTGGAAATGTGATTCCTGTGTTGCATGGGGGTTTTCCTCTGAACGTAAAGCGTTACATGAGAAATGTACTTCGTCGGTAAACAGGATTTTCAAATAAAGGATTTTGAATATGGCGTTAGAGATACCATCGACAGAAGTTGATACGTAATAGAAAGTTACTCGTTGAATACGGTAAGGATATAAAAAATTACCAATTGAAAATTTCCATGCCAGAACATGAGAAACCATTAACATTGGCGTTATTTTTCTCGAGCTTATTTCCGAGTGTTCTCCTACCAGATTGGAAACTGCTTCCTCAGTTGTTGGGGTTCTTACGTCTACCCGATAGATGACTAGCTTGCAGAAAACTATCTGTTTCTCTTAACCGAGTGTGAATTCTTGAAAAGGGTTTTGAAGTAAGAGTTGTGCGGTTCGGATAACGCTCTTAATACAAATGTCTAGCTTCATATGCATTCCCGTTAGCAAGTCCGTATGGGAAATGTATGTCAGAATACTCTGCATTGGTAAAGTTTACCATTTTTAAACAAATATTCACACTAATAACAAATAAAACTAGTTAACTATGTGTCAAGGTATTATTTTTGACATGACAGTACAAAAACAAACATTGGAATAAACTTTCTAGCGTACCTACTTGATACTTTTATTTTCAAAGAGTTCGCGAATCAATGAGAAGACGATTGGATGCATCGATTAATTCAAATTAAGATATCTCGAAAACGTTACCGAAACGGCGACGTAAAAATAATAGAGGAATCGATTTTTTTTCTAGAAAATGTGATACATAGATGCACGACAAAGTTGTGACTCTCCAAAAAGAGACCAAGAGCTGTAGGTGGCCCCCTACAATTAAGTGCCAAACTAAAACCACTTATCACATACGCATGACACTGCAGGAAATGAAACGACCCGAACTCTCATAAAATCTTTTGTTTGCATTTATAATAAGCTTTCATTACTTTTCACTATTAGGAAACAGAGTATATGAAATCAAGGAAGCGGTAGTTACTTCATGTTGAATTGCACAACCATGTATCCAACTTCACTGTAACCTAATAAAGTTCCACTGGAGCAACGGTATAATAAATACGAAGTCAATCCAAATGGCTAAATAAAAGAATAATGTACCAGGTCTGATAAATTTACTAGTAAATACCATATAAAACCTCCCACATAAAAAATAATGATTAGACCTCGTATGAATTTCTTACCTCTCACTTATGAGTATGCCAGCCGTATCTAGTTCGGTAACTATTTAGTTTTTATGCCATTCGAATTAACTTGGTATACACTTCTATACACGTACATAATTCTTATTGGTTGTCTACTTAACGAGATCATCTTCTCCTGCGAGTTTTCCAGGTGTCTGAAGGAATAAAAACCCGGGGAAATTTACACGTCAAATTTCCTCCGAAATGAATATTTGTCATACAAGTGCTTGGAGACATATCAAAAAGGCGGTTTAAAATGTTACAAAATACACATATCTCAAAAATTGCATCCAGGTGATCCCGAAAGGCGATTAGAATTTTGTAATTGGCTAATAAGAAGACCTGAGTTTCCTGTTTTCCTGGAAAATGTAATTTGGACAGATGAAAGCACTTTTACGAATTGTGGGATATTCAACCGAAATAACGAATACATTTGGAGCATATACAACCCCAGGCAGTTCCGAGAATTTCGACCTTAAGTGCGATTTAGTATTAACGTGTGGGCAGGAATTTACAAAGATAGAATTTTGGCTCCTCATTTATTTGACGGAATTCTGAATGGCGAAACCTATCACCAGTTTTTAATGTCGATTTTCGAAGACTATTTGGATGATCTACCTTTGGCTAAGGATAACATCTGGTTTCAACATGATGGTACCCCACCGCACACTACCAGACGACTATCAAATTATCTCTCTGAAAGGTTTGGTGATGAATAGATAGGGAATAATGCGCCGGTGAGGTGGCCAGCAAGGTCTCCAGACTTGAGTGTTATGGATACATTCTTATGGGGTACACTGAAAAATATAGTTTATGGTCAGAGGGAATATCAAAATATTGAGGACCTTCAACACAGCATTGTTAGAGAGTTTGGAAGATTGAGGAGGAGGGACATTAATCGTACAGTGAATAATATTCAAAGAAGGGCACAGTTGTGTTATCATGAACAAGGCCAGCATTTTGAGCATTTGCTGTGATTTACTTTTGTCTTTACATTTCAGTTAATTATTGTTATTTGTTCAAAGTTCTATTTTCATTGGAAATTTACCTAATTTACCTCATACACACCTTATTTAAAAAAATTTGAAACACCCTGTATTAGGGTCGAAGTATTAAAAATTGGTATGTGTCATTTGGGAATTTTTACACACCTATCTGAAACGGAATAGCATTCCTGTTGCTAAACCTGCTAGGCGTGTACCATTTGTAGTGAAAGATATATTATTTGAGAAATGAAACCAATCAGGAAAACAGTATAATTCCGAAAGTAAATGATGGAAGTTAGTGGTGAGTAATATAGTTATTTTTGAAAATTCTGATGGTTCAGTACGGGTATGCATTGATCCATACAAGTTGAATAAATTAATACATAATGAATTTTTTGAAACACCATCCAGAAATCATACGGAAAGAAATGTTTATACAATTATTATTCAATTAAAATTTGAATATTCAAAATCTTGTAGATTTTCTAAATGTAATAATGTATTTGACTTTTTGTCGGTTTCGGCTACAACAATTGAGGAACATGATGATACACATAGATAGGTAATTGATAGAGCAAGGCTCGTTAATGTTGAATTCAACAAAAACCAAGTACAGTTCAGAGAAACAGAAGTAAAATATTTAGGAGATGTATTCAATAAAGAAGGAATGAGGACTATGAAGCAATAAGAGTTTTGAAGCGCCCAAAACGAAAAAAGATTTGCAACTTTTATTAGGTTTTGTTAACTTGTTGAGAAATTGATTTTCTAATGTGGCACAGGTCAAGTCCTTTATGAGAATTTTTGAAAAAAAATTCATGATATATTGCGTTGTGAAATATCAAAATTACTATCATAAATGCAGGATCTCTCATGAATTTTGATCCAAAAAAATAAATTGTTGATCGGGATGTGAAGTTGTACAGTGTGATTAACTTAAAATGAAGTCACTCCTGTATTTTAGTCATTCATGAAAGTAGATATTTCATTTTCGGTACAGACATAGACCTTCATGGGCCGCAGTTTTCGCAATACCTATAGCCCGAGTGACAGCCTCAAACCTCAAACGAAAATAATAATGATGAAAAGAGAATTGAAACTTTCTATGTTTTTTACCACTTTTATGTGTAACTACATTAAAATTTAATGTGTAAGTTTGAAAATTTCCTCATAGGACGAACTACAGTAACGTTAGTTACAAATAAAAGTGGTAAAAAACATGGAAAGTTTCAATTCTCTTTTCTTCATAATGATTTCCTACCACGTAGTATCGGCTACATCCATCAATTTATTGAAAATAATAAATTCGTTATAATGTAGGAATGAGAATGAAAAACCTAATATTCATTATGAATATATTTATTTCATTGATTTTAACTATTATATCATTTCTGTAGCTTATTCGAAACCATTAATTGAAAACGTAACATAAATTCCGAATTTTTGGTTGAAATACGGTATGTAGGGTCAAAATGGATTTCTAAGCTACTTCTTAAATAATTTATCGTTATCTCCAACGGTGATAAGTATTGCGAAAAGTGCGGCCCATGAAAGTCTATGCCTCTACCAGAAATCAAATATCTGCTTTCAAAAATGACTAAAACACAGGGGTATCTTCATAGAAAAGTCCCATAAATACATTTATGAGTGGAAAATAAAAATATTTACAAATCATAAACCGAAATGAAATCTTGAAATATTCATTTCTACCAAGTACCCAAACTTGATGTAAATGCTTCTAGTAAATGCTTGCCGGAAAA